TATGGACGTACTCACACTAGGTACTAGATACGGTTGGCTTGAACAATGCTGAAGCGCGCTTGTCCCCCCTCCCATCTCCCCTAATGGTCTGCACTTACACTGCATTTTATTATTTATTCATTTTATCATAAAAGTCCTCGTCTTGCAGGTATTAGGAGGTTTGCTGAAGGCATCAGCTGTCGTGCAGCAAGGTGTTTGTATCATTTTAATAAACTATGACAATTTGTGTTCATTAAAAAGTAAGAATGATTAATAAATCTATATGAAACAGTCTCTTAAAAGTGACGTCGCATCTTCAGTCTCAGGCGCGCTTTGCACTCACACTACAAGCATACCGCACCAAAGCTCAACAGAACCATGCTTTGGCACATCTCTTCCAACTGGGTCAGGGCTGCCAACTGAATTCGAAGCACTTACACTTGTCAAACGAACCTGGAAACGCATCTGGGCACGATTTAGATAGCGTAGTGTGAGTGCACCATATCTTCTTTTGTTTACAAGAGAGTAAAGAAACTCATTAAAACCACATGAGGGAGAGTAAATGATGAGATCTTTTTATTTTTGATCTATCCCTTTAACAATATATTCATAGCCTGACCACTGACTGAGAAATATAAAATATAAAGATATAAAATTAAATCCATATTATATACACACACAAACACACACAACTTTGAAAAAATGATTGAAAAAAGATTGAAGATTTTGAAAGCATTATTTTCTTTTGCTTACAATGGTCTATTTATTAAATCAAAAACAGCGATCTTGTGAAATGTATTCAGAAAAACTGTATTCTATTTTTTTAAATATAGAACATTTTTTAGATAATTTATTGTCATTACTACCACTTTTGATTGATTTATTACAATAAAAGTATTCATTTTCTTTCCAAAAAAAGTCATACTAATCTCATTCGTTTGACATCACTTCAAAACAAAAGCAAAACATAGTTGGTCGAACAATTTCTTCCCATCTACTGTAAGTGGGCAGTTCTTGGCCAGGATTAGCCGCAATGAAGACCAGACTTTGTCATAGTCAAAAGTCTGGCATAAATACGAGTCTAGGCTGGTGTAAAGCTGTCTGGTTTTAAAACAAATCATGCTAATGGGGTCGGTTGTGAAGAAGACCAGATGGATTACAAACAAAGTAACACACTCGAATAATAGTGAAATCCTAGGCACAGGTCTTATTTTATCTCCTCACACATTTCATATCTCTGTTAAGGCATTGTTTCCTTTTTTTTTTTTTTTTGGCTGTCAATGTAAGAACGTCTCTATTTGCAATTCTTCCTGTCACACAGTGGCCCAGACAAGCTGGTTGATCATACCGCTCAAGCAAACAAAATGCCACCGTTTCTTCCACTGCACAGTCATTCAGCATTTAAAAAAGCATGTGGTGAAGTGTAGTTACCCCCCTCCTCTGTCTTACTCAAAAGACTCCGCAGTCTGCTCGGTGGGCTCTTAAAGCAGGGCATGTTTCGACACACGTCAAGTCAAGGGCTCATCTCTTTGCTAATATTGTCAGTGTTTTTATTTCTTCTTTTTAAGAGAGACTGGGATCAATGCGCCTAGGCAGACAGCTCGAGTCTTTGAAGCGGCGCGCATGCAGATACGGCAAGCGGCTGCAATCATCATATACCCCGTGACACTGCGTTTGGCGGCACGGGCTTCTGTAAAGCCTCTCAGTGTGCTGATCAAGGGATTCCGGCTCAAAGAAGGAGGAGCGGCAGCCCTTTTCCTCCCTTCCTCCGTATTCCTGTGATGAAGAGCTGCTTAACACAAATCAAATGCAAAGACTCAAAGTTGTGCGCATCAGTAGCTGCCAGTACATTGCAATGTCTCAGAAACATATGCTGGGCAGTAGAAAACTTATGCTACTTAAGTTTTCTGCAAAGTGGCATGGTGGCTCAGTGGTTAGCACTGTCGCCTCACAGCATGAAGGTCGCTGATTTGAGCCCTGTTGAATCAGTTGGCATGCATGTTCTCCCCATGTTCACATCAGTTTCTTCCGGGTGCTCCGGTTTCCCTCACAGTCCAAAGACATGCGGTATTGGATAAACTAAATTGGTTGTAGTGTATGTGTGTGTGAATGAATGTGAGAGTGTATGGTTGTTTGCGAGTACTGGGTTGCGGCTGGAAGGGCATCTGCTGCGTAAACCATATGCCGGAATGAATTTCGGTTCATTCCGCTGTGGCGACCCCTGAGACTAAGCCGAAGGAAAATGAATGAAGGGGTTTTCTGCAATGTTTGGTCACTCATAAGTCATAACTGTCTAGTTAACTTTTTGGGTGTAGGTTATTTATAAAACAACAACATTTAAAATTTGCTGAGTAGTGTCAGAAACCCAATTTAACCAAATAAATTAATTTAAAAAATCTTAGAGTACAAGGTAAAGAGTTAATCGTGTCTTAAACATTGGCAGGGACCAAAATGATTTTATTCAGTGGGGATGAGGATTTTACTTTAAATAAGTAACACCAATAAATCACTTTATTAGGTGCATGTTAACACAAATATCTAATCTGCCAATCACATCGAAGCAACTTATACAGTAAGTGTTTGTCCTCCCCAAAAATCTGTTTTAATTGTTCAACCTCATGTAATTTCAATTTTGAGACCTTTGCTCATATTTGGAACACGGTTAAGATCATTAACATAAAATCCTAAAGCTCTTGTGTCATTCGCAGACAGTAACATTTCGACAATTTTGTTCACCAACTTTGCCAGGTGCAATGGTGCATGTTTACTATAGGCAATATGTCACATTGTCATTAGAGGCAGCAGCATGCAAGTGCAAGTTAAGTGTGACGTCATGCGAAGCGGTTTCTGAGTCCAAACGCTCTATCAAACTGTATGGGGAGACTTATCAAATGTTATTAAAAAACGTTTACAAAGCAATGTAATAGTTTCGAAAATCACAATTGCAATATATATGTCCATGTTTTAGATCTGATGGTCAAAAAGTGATACATTTTTCATAAACTGCTAATTTTTAAATAAAGTTTGGTATTTGTGATGCAGGAAGTCTACATATTGTTGTGTACCCTATGATTCTATATAAAAATCACTTTAATGTGATGGGACTAAAAAGTGGCCATAAACGTGTTGGTAACGCATACCCTGACCAGACCAGGAAGACATAGGCCAGACCGGGGCATTTTATAGTCCCCAGGCCACATGTTGCTTCATCCACAAACAGGGCCTTCTGATAGGAGATCTGATATTGCAAGTAAGAAAAAGTCTTTCTCAAAGACTTTCCCTTATAGCATCTTTTGCCAGCTCAGTTTTGTTATTTCAAATGTGCAAATAGGAAGGGATGCACATGCCTATATAAAGTGGGTCTCAGATTGTACAAGAAGCACTGCATCAAATTACAATTTCCCCCACCATGTCTTTAAAATATGATCATTTATTTTACCACACTATATTCAATGGAGCTTTTGCACTAGCCTGCTAATCCTGACGGGAGTGTGCATGTAAACAGCTTTTCATCTCGTTTTTTGCTTGAGCAACTAAATGAATCCCAAAGTCTAGTTAAATGATTATATTTTAATTACATACCAACATTAATGCTGTAAAAGAAACTGTATAAAACAGAAAAAGTCACATTATGCGTTCACCAGAAGTGCAGCAGTATGGGAAGAAACACTAGATCATATACCCTATTACACAGTAACAAAGGTAGACTAACTACCTCAGATTAACGATTTAGCAAATCCAGATACAGATCCTCTCTCAGTGATTATTATTACATTACATATCCACCTCACATTTAACCTGACTTCAGTGCACTTGTTCAGCCCAACACAGGCTAGAATTATCTCACTGAACATAAAAAATATAAATAAATAAATAAAATGAAGGTGAACCAATTAAACAATCAACGCTGTGACATTTATATGAAGTAGATATTGTGATGCTGGTCTTTAAAATACTTTTTTTTTGTGTAAAATGTATCCTTTTTTAAACTTTAGAGTTATATGAATGTGTATTAAAAGCCAGTATTTCAGAATCAGCTGATCAAGATGGTCATGCTCAACCATCTTTCGGCTTTACAGAGAATGACAAAAATAAAAACTATCCAGTAAGCAGCAGTTCTGTGAATGAAAATGCCTAGCTGAGGTCAGAGGAAATAGCCAGAGTAGTTCAAGCTGATAGAAAACAGTAACTCAAAAGTCACTTGATACAACAGAAGTCTGCCGGGTCTGATAAGTTGCCATCTTAATGTTGCAACATTAAGATGGCAAGGTCAAAATTTGTCATACACAACACAAAAGCATCAATTATATTTTCTTTGGGCCAATTAGTGTTGGACATTTAAACTTATGCATAACAATAATTAGCAAAAAATGAAAAGTTCCATTCTAAAGGGCTACTGAACAATGTAAAGCTTTCATTTTTTTTTTTTTTTTATTTAAAACAGTCAAATTTGACAAATAGACTAGTTTTGTTTTATCAACAGTTGTGGAATATTATATATGTTGCACACCTTTAGCATTTTACTGTTAACGGCTTTTGGAAACCTGACATTTTTATTTGAATGGTATTCTCAGTCAATTGAAATGTAAACTGCAGAGTCAGACCAGCCTAAAATGTATTTATATTTTGGGGCACTATTTAATGGTGGCTTTAAGTCCACCATTGTTGTTTTGAGTGCCCAAAACTAAGAACTAATACACGCCTTTATAGACTGAATATGTAATACACATGTGCATGACATCGGTGTTTTCACAAAATCACATTTGTGAATTTTACAAAATAATAGTATTGTTTTCGAAACTTTCACTTTAAAACCTGTTTTAAGTTTGCATTCTTAGGGCCTTAAAACACAGTTTTTGTGTAAATGAATTAGCAAAACTAAACGTATGACCCCTTAGGGTGCACGTATATGAATTACAGTATAGTTTTTTGTTTGTCTTGCTAGAGACGATTATCAAGCTAATTTGTGAGGCAGAAAAACTCAATCCAGTGACGCTGTTGATTCCAACCTCTGTTTCCAGATTGTCTGGAGGGACTGTTATGGTGGAAAATGCAATTGTGTGACAGAGTCAGGTGAGTAATATGCTATGGGTTTTTGTCAGCACTTTGCTAGCTTTGATTCATAAGTCTGTAACTCCCTGCCTTAGCGGTGTGAAATATAGTAAGAGTTTCCTTAGTCAGAACCTTAAACAAACCTCAACAAGTCTTAAACAAATCTGTTTACCAATGAAATAACAGCAGGGGAAACTAGAAGGATGCAAGATATGAAGAGCTGACATTAAATAAGCTAAATTAAATCTGACAAATGGGTTGTTGACATGATTTTGCATTTTTAAGGTCACAGGTGACTAAAAAAATTATTATTAGTAGTATTGTCATCAGGTAAAATGCAGGTAACGGTGTTGCCAGATATGGTGGACTTTTTCCAGCCCATAAGCTGTCCATAACCCACCTGAATGCACAAAAAACTGCTTAAAATGTTAGGTTAATATTTTATTTCATTTTAAATCTAAATTAATCTAGTTGCTTTGGCTGTCATCATTTTTAACCATTCAGCAATCAACACCAGCAATCACAGAACCACAACATAATCGGATCACATCGAAACACTGCCCCTTTCTCACCCACACACTGTGTGAGATTACACTACCTAGAGTATGTTTTACTTTCAAAATGGGGCATAAATTCATCCCATTTGGTGTTTTAAATTCTTTTGAACATAATTAGGAATGTTTGTTCTTGCTGTCAATTGGGGAAAAAAATGATTGATAAAAGTGTTATGATAATCCTCTGTGTTTAACTGCAGGTGCTGCGTTATGCATGTGCATACGAAGGGGAGTCAGATTTGTCCAGGGAGTCAAATTTTGATACAACTTTCATTCACCTGGGCTCATGTGGTTTGCGCTGTGCACTGGTCACTACAAACTCAATGGAATAGGAGCACATAATTATGTTTCGTTAAATAAGTTGCATATAAAGTTTACGTTTCAAAATTGCCCAAATTTTGTCAACGAGCTAATGCCATTTTTTACAGTACCTGCAAAATCGAATTCAAAACTGCCCAATTGGGTGAGAAACCCCCCAATTTGGCAACACCGGCAGTAAATTGTTAAACATTCCGTTGTCCTCCTTGAATCTCGTGATATAAAAACTGCTGTTACTGCATATTTTACATTTTGAAAAAAAAAAAAAAAACTTTAAAACAAAAAAAGCATTAATAAATACCTCAGGTCAAATGGCTGTTTTAATAAATGGCAATCTTTTTTTTCATCCAATTATTTTTAAAAGAATAGTAACTTGATGCATTTTGTCACTGAAACCATGTCTTCTGCTGTGACTCTACACTGTAGAAAAAAAAAAAACAGGGCTTTACACAATTCATTCATGTTGTTTCAACACAAATTGATTAACTATTAACAAACAGTTGGATTAAACATAAAACAATTAAGTTGTCCCCAAAAAATCTCAAGAATTTTGTTGTTTTAGCTTATTTTAAACAAGTATTTTGAACAGGCAGGGAAAAAAAACTTTTTTTTGAGTGTATATGCTAGTTTTAAATCAGCAATTCCACTAAAAACTTGAATAAGTTGAAGGACCCCATTCAAGATCATGCCACTATAAAGCCCATGTTGTCCACAATGCAAGTTTTTGTCTCAGAATAACACGTGACCCAAAGAGGTCAAGTAAAAGTGTATATCCACAAGGTAAAAAAAAAATCCTGGTTGCCTTACATTTTTAATCTGAATTAAATTAACCTTATAAGTCATTTGAACCTAAACTGACAAAAATAGCTTGCGTAACTTATAAAATTAAATTAGAACATGATTAACATAGTTTAACGTTGTCATGACTAATTGATCATGTAATTTTTTACAGTGTAAATATTTTAATTAATTATAACTAATTTTGATTTATTATTAATAAGTAGCTGGTTCACTACAACATACTTGACTTTTTTAGAACTTCTATAAAATTGTTAAGTTTTATTGTCCTTTGATGTGATGTTCAACAAGTCAGAAAAAAAGAAATATTATAATTTCACATAAAATAATTAGCACTATATGTAAAGTGAAGTAAAATGTAAAGTGTCCAAACAATGAAGATAAATCTATGATAAATCATGCTATTTTTATATTATAAGTGCTATTTTTCTTCATTTTTGTTATGTCACCCCATACATATGACATATGTAAGAGACAGTTCAGTAAAATATTACATAAATGAATTGATAAAATTTCAAGAAAGATTTCAAACTACGTCAATAATAAAAAATGTTCTTTAAAAATGGTGTTTTACAAAAAAGCTTTTATTTACAGTCTATTTATTCGAACATCTCAAACATGAGTTCATTTTATTGACATTTAAAACCAACATTTTTGAGTATTAGTAAAGGTGACTGAAGTGTATTTCCAAAGCAGCGATACATCGAGCTGTAGCACACCTGTAATCACCTTTCATGTAGAGGAGAACAAAGAGCTTTAATATGTGTCTCTGCTCGAATGCCGTAATTAAACGTTGGCTTCTATTAATCCCTGCAGTAAATTGGAGCAAGGGAAAGATTTAGCAGGCTATTCATCATCAGACTATGTGAAGATGGCAGTTTTAATAAAAACATTCCCATGCTAGTGTATTGGGTGATCCAAAAGCAGAGTTTTCTTATTTAGAAATAAAGAACAACATTTTATAAAAGTCATTCTATATGTGTCAAAGCAAAATCATTCATTAAGGCGAGAAATGAAGTATATGAAATGTTGGCAATCCTGCATGCAAACAAGTCAAAGGCTAAGAGGAAATTGATTATTACTTTAGACTCTGATTTAAATCTTGTCCTTCATCACAAAAGGAAGATGATCAGAACCACGTGTGTAATGCACATCCAGAAATGTTCAAGTATTTTACTCTCTCACACTTCATAAAGCTTAATTAACGTAATTAAATCCATTGACAGATTACAGATATCCTATAATGGCCAACCAATGTGTTTTTATTAATCACCTTTACTAATGTCAGAAAAGCAGGATGGCTCATATTTAATGTTGTATGCTAAAATAAAAAGGGTGTAATAAAAGTGATAGGAATCATTAAGAATCTAGTAATTCCAGTTCTGATTCCTCTAACCAATTGTTTCCATTATACTTTCATTAGCAGTTTACTACTAAAAAGAACAATTCGTTCCAAAATTAATGTTTACTCATAATTTAATCACATTCAAGTTATTACAAATCAGTATGAATTTCTGCTACTGAAGACACATGAAGATATTTTAGGAATGTTGATAACCGGACAGTTAATGCAGCTGCAGACTTGCATTAACCCAATGGAAACATTAAAAGCCATTTTTATATAGAATAGTTTGGAGCGAGTGGAGGGCAATTGATGACCGAACATTCCTTTAGTGTATATATCAGGGGTACCCAAACTTTTTCTTACGGAGTCCACAAATCCAAGCTTGATTGAAAGATGTGGGCCGAAAGTAAATATAGCAAACTGTATTATATTAAAGTTGCCATGGGTAATTTTATAATTTTTAGAAATAAAAACTACTTTAACAGTTTGTACGTACTAATGCATTCAATTTTTGTAAATGTATATTATTTAACAAATTTATTACAATAAAACCATTTTTAAAAAAAATCCTTTAATTAACTTTTCAATGGATTTTTTTTCAATAAATTTTTCAATGGAATTCAATGCCAATATTCATGCCTTAATTTGCACGCTGATGTCTACTGCTTTGTCCCCTATTCTTTAAGTGACAATATGAACATTTTTTAAAAATTTGATTAACTTACAACATTTAGTTGAAACATTAAATTTCTGTTTGCTTTTTATTTAGCTCAACAATAAAACAAACAAAAGGTTACATTAAAATAGAAATGAGCTCAGTTAAAGGCATAATCTTTAAACCTTTCCCAATCATTTTCCTTCTGACGGGTCAAATCAAAGTATACAAAATGCCTTTGACCCACTGCCCAATTTTGGGCATCTCTGATATAAATATAAAAAAATAATAATAGTAAATTATTAAAAGAGCAGTTCCCACCAATCACATTCAAGTTGTTACAAATCAATATGAATTTCTGCTACTGAACACAAATGAAGATATTTTAAGAATGTTGATAACCAGACAGTTAATGCAGCTGCTGACTTGCATAGCAGGAGTATTACAAAGAAAATACCAAGTCATTAAACCAAAGGCTACATCAACATTCTTCAAAATACCTTTTTTATGTAGAATAGTTTGCGGGAGTGGAGTGTAATTGATGACCAAATGTTCCTTTTAGTTTATAAATATATATATATATATATATATATATATATATATATATATATATATATATTGTATTGCCGAATTTTGAGAAAATTCAGTAAAAGATACAGTAATGTCAGTAGAAATGTGGTAATATAATTTAATTCTTTTATATATAATAAATCTTGTTATAATCCTTTAATATATATAAACATTACAATAATAGTGCTGTCAAATGATTAATCGTGATAAATCGCCACCAAAATAAAAGTTTGTATATACATGATGTATGTGTACTAATGAATATTGTCTATATATAAATAAAATTATTTATTCATTCATTTTCTTTTCGGCTTAGTCCCTTTATTAATCCGGGGTCGCCACAGCGGAATGAACCGCCAACTTATTCAGCAAATGCCCTTCCAACCACAACCCATCTCTGGGAAACATCCACACACACACTCATTCACACTCATACACTACGGACAATTTAGCCTACCCATTTCACCAGTACTGATGTCTTTGGACTGTGGGGGAAACCAGAGTACCTGGAGGAAACCCACGCGAACACAGGGAGAACATGCAAACTCCACACAGATACGCCAACTGACCCAGCCGAGGCTCTAACCAGTGACCTTGTTGTGAGGCGACAGCACTACCTACTGTGCCACTGCGTTGCCTAAATAAAAATATTTAAAATATAAATAATAATTAAAAATATGTATGTAAATACAGGCTTTTATTTTGTTCTGATTAAACGTGATTATCTTTTGAAAGCGTTAAATAATAATAATAACAATAATAATAATATTTTTAAGGAGTTATCTCACAACTGTTGTTCACAACATTTTTTATTCTTTTTTATTCATTTTATTCACTTTTTATTCTTGGAGGGAAATCATTACATATATATATATATATATATATATATATATATATATATATATATATATATATATATATATATATATATATATATATATATATATATATATATATATATATATATATATATATATATATATATATATATATATATATATATATATATATATATATATATATATATATATATATATATACTGGTCAAAAGTTTGGGGTCAGTTTTTTTTGTTGTAATTTTATAATAATTTAAAAAGAAATACTGTTTATCATTGCAGTATTTATTAAATATAGAAAGAAATTACATTGTTAAATACTTATTTATTAAATATTTATTTATTACTTATTAATATTTATTTATTATTGTATGTAGTTTATAATGAAATTATTATTTCAGTCATTTTTTTTTACTATTGCCATTTAATAATAATCATATAAATAATAATAACAATAATAATTAATATTAGAGTGATTTCTGAAAGATCATGCAAATCTGAAGACTGGAGTAATGAAGCTGAAAATGTATCTTTACAATCACTGGAATAAATGATTAAATTAAATTAAAAACTACTTATATAGTGCAACATTTTACAATTTTTCAATTTGTACTGTATTTTTAATGAAATAAATTAAGCCTTGGTGAGCAGGAGAGGCTTATTTTAAAACATTTAAAAACCCAACTGACCCCAAACTTTTGACCAGTAGTGTGTATAAAGAACATTAAAAATGAATGTCAAAAAAAAGATTTTACAGTGCTTTACGTATTCTTGTAAATCCGATGATCTTTTCTATGGCACATTCTACAAATCTTTTCTCACAGAATGACAGTTAACAAAAAGGTCTTGACCCTGGCTTAGCAAAGGG